TGTGAGCACAAGGCAGGACTCCATTCAGAACCATGTGTTTTTAGGCAAAATGTCAGATATTCAGGGCAAACAAGCTAGGGGGGCTTGCACTGTAGGCCCTTCCTCTCCTCATCTACCATTGCCTGGGTGACAGGACCTGGGAGGTTGGACCTGGCTCTGAGTCCAGACATGTGGCTCCTATTTATCTCCACATGGGCATGAGCCCTGCTGCAGGTGGTGCAGCTGCAGTGCAGCCTGGGGAGCCAGGGCCTTTGGCCTTTTTAGTTAGAAGTTAGCTCTTGCTTTTGTCCAGAGCCTGTGAGGTTGCAGTTTTCTCTCTACTCTGGACATTTGCTTTTATCCACAGCTGTTTTTCCTTTCTGCAGTTGTTTATCCTTACTCTTTTTGACAAGTGTACATGAGAAAGTTGGTATAACTTTTTTTTAAAAAAAAAAATTTATTAGTTATAGGTGGAAACAATACCTTTATTTATTTATTAATGTGTTGCTGAGAATTGAACCCAGTACCTCACACTTTACTAGGCAAGTGCTCTACCACTGAGCCAGAACCCCAGCCCAGTATAAAATCCTGAACCATCTCTCACACAGTATCCCTGGCTTCCTGAACAGAAGTGGGACTTCTGATTCCCTGTGTTTCTTTCTGTGGTCATCCACCATGGAATTGGAAGCAGCTAAGAGAGCCCTGAGCAGAGTTGAGGTGGTCTAGCTGCCATTGCTGTAGAATCTTCAAAACTGTTAGCAAAATAAACCACTTCTCATTATAAAGTTGGCTTGCCTTGAGTATTTTATACAAATGAAAATTGTTCTACCAGAGTAATATGCTATTGTGAATGAAAGTAGGAATATTTACCTTGTTTCACTCCTTAATCCATCTAAGATTTGAAAAAATATAAGTATTACTTCAGGGATATGCATTTATTCACATAAATCCAAAAGAATGTGTTTGTTCTCAAAGCAGGATACAATTTTGAAATCTTAGTTGTGTTACCAAGGTGTTCAATGATATATAATATTTAAATTGTTTATAGGTTCTTTAAAGAAAATTAAACTGGTGCCTGTAAAATTAAACTGCCTGACTATCTAGCCAGAAGACGCCTTTAAAAAACAATCTGAGATTATTATGTGATCAATCACTATTCTTCCAGAAAATTACACAAATAATAAAATTTTATAAAAGCTAAATGGGGACAACATAGAATAAGAATCCTATGCATACACTCTATGGAGGTGACTGGCTGATCTTGGATGTAGGATATCCCGACCCCAATCTTGAAACATATTGGTTCAGTGAAATCAACAATGACAATCACAAGTTATCTACATTCTGTGAATGTGGTGGTATTTTATTTTCAATTCTGTGCAGACTCCCTCTTAAAAATATTGAGTTCATTTTATTTATTCTTTCATTACTGATACATATTTGCATTGCTTCTGGTTTGCACATAATGTTGCTGTAAACAAAGTTTCACCTGGTGAATACAGGTAGGCATTTCCATTTGGTATATTCCTAAGAGTTGAATCATTGAGCAACAACCACATTCTATTTCCATCTCTAAGATATGCCATCAAAGAATTTTTGAAAAGGGTTGTGACCATTTATGTGCATATCAGAGTGTAAGATTCCCCTTGCTTGACATCCTTACAACTCTCATCAGTGGTTTTAAGCCATTGCATATTTGTATCATATTAGGGTCTTTTTGTTAAATGACAAAAAATTCATAGTTTGAAGTTAAGTCAGCCATGGGGCAGTGACATGTTGTATGTGTTTCATTTGCCCAGGGACAAGCAAATGTACAGGAATATCTGAAAAGTTTCCAGAATTCTAGGGAAGATGGTAGGATTTGATATTCTACTCAAATAAAACTAAGATGAGTCCATTTACCCTTGTGCAAAAAGGCCAAGAGCAGATAGAGCATAAGTTTCTTCCCATAAAAATTGGGGTGCTTTAACTGGATGACTTCATGCTCATAAATGTTGCCCTTATTTCTCCATTGAGAACACACTGCCCTCTCATTTTATGGAAAAAACAAAAATTGAGTTCCCTAGAAGTCCTTCAGAATAATGTGAGTCTCTAGAAAGAGAGCTATTGCTGGACTCCTTTCATGCTCCAGGAATGTTAAAAATAAATTGATGCTATCTTAAGCTACCTAGCCTGCAGCCTCCCTTCAATTTGATTGCACACTATTGTTAAGAATTGAGTCACTAACTGCCTAGTGTTGTTATCCATTGTGTCATGTATGCCACACACCCATCTAATTCTAAGTATTATGGGATAATACTGCAAGGTTCATTGTTCAAGGCTGATCTTATATAGGTTCATTGGATTTCAACAAGCATTTTGCTGATGTCGAATGAAAAGTTAGGCCCAGAGGAGAAGTGGCTTGCCCAAAGTCACAGCTGGAGCTGAGCCTGCTAGGTTATTCCTTGGTTAATCACCCATTGCTATTCTGACCTCTCCAACTTTTGGAATTTTCTGTTTGACACCAAAATGTGAAATGCATGGGTTCCATCTCACATTTTATAATCTCCCCTGGAAGTAGGTGCCAATGTGATCCCTATTGTGTGATTTGGGAAAGGCTGAAAAGCATAATGACTTCTCTAGGGTGACATAATAGTAAAAAAAATAGAAATTCTGAAGCCAAATGTGTCTCCCTAAATCAATGTTCTTGGCTGCATTGATGACTGATGACTTCCAAAGGGGTTGAAAGGCCCTCTGTGTTTGCATACTTTTCTATAGATAAGGAGATAAAAAGTCAGTACCCCAAAGGGCACTGAGCAGAGGTCTAACTAGACTAAAAGGCCCAATTAATTAAACTTTGAAGAAGAGGCCTCAATTTTTTTGCATTAGGACTCAACAGAACTTAGAAATATGGTAAACAACAACACATTATAGAGACAGTCCCTTATTCAAATCACCTGAAGAGAGATGCTCAAGAGACCAAAAGATATTTTCTTTTTTAAAAATTTTTAGTTGCTGTTGGACATAATACTTCTTTTTTGTTTTATTTTCTTTTTCTGTGGTACTGAGGATCAAACCCAGTGCCTCACACATGCCAGGCAAGTACCGTGCCACTGAACTGCAGTCCTGGTCCCCAAGATGTTTTCTTGATGTGTCCAAAACTTCCAAGGGTGTAGCCACAAAAATGACCAGAGTGGGAATATATTTTGATGTTGATGAAGCCCAACAGCAGACTCTGCGGCCGTTGATCAGAAGGTAACCACATGTAAGAGGAGGTGGCCCTGAGAAGACCAATCCAGATCAGCCCACATCTGTGACCACATTGGAGAAGTCCTTTACCCTCTCCATTCCGTGTGTGTGTGTGTGTGTGTGTGTGTGTGTGTGTGTGTGTGTGTGTAGAGTGGGACAGCAGAGGATCTGAAATAGCAGGAGGATGTTACCAATGTTGGAACTCTGTGGTCTCTCATATTAACACCACTGATCATTGTGGGCCAGCATGAATATTTAAGCATTGGATAGTAATATTTATCCGGGGATCTTATTCTGTAATCTGGTGTCACTCCTGGATGGGGGTCTATACATATAATTATATATACATGATCTGGATGTAAGTTTTTTTCAAGGAGAGTCCCCTGTGGGGCCAGTCAGGGTGGTCAGGGTTTTATGTTGTACTGAATGTCAGCCAATCTCTTTATAGAGTTTCATGCAGATCATTGAGGAGGTATTTGGTAACTCTGTCTCCATGTTACCATTCAACCAACAATAATACATCTGGTCTGAGGTTAGATGGCCCTTGTGGTAATGGGTGTGTTTTTTACTGTTGCTAGTTTTTTGTGTTAGCTTCTGGTTCCAGGGAATCCCACATAGCAATCAATTCTACTTAACTTCTAGTCCTGTTAAAACTTTTTTAAGTTTAACTTTTTATTAAATATCCTATTAAAGAAATTTTTTAAAAAAAAACTTTTTTAAGTTGCACCCTCATTCGGCCATGCTGCGGGGACAGTGTATGTGTGTCCTTGGGGGCTGTGTCCTTTTCACAGTGCTGTCATAAGACAATGGCATCAATGGTGGGATTAAGGGCAGAAATTTGTTTTTCCTAAATCCACAGGCTACATATCAAGGTGCATGCTGGTAGGATTTCTTTTGAGGCCCACTCTTTGACAAGTAGATTCCATCTTCTGTCTCTGTGTTGGCAAGACATTTTCCTATGCTTCTCTGTGTCCTAATTGTCACTTCTTATAAGTGGACAAGTGGATTTTATTGGATTAGTCCTCACACAAATTAACTGGTTAACATTGATTATGTCTTTAAGAACCACATATAAAATAAAAGACACAGTATGAAGCATTGGTTCTAAACATCAACGTGAGATTTGGGGAGGGGACACAACTCAGATGATAACAAAAAACTAGTTTCCTGCTGAAGAGTGACCCTCAGTAAAGGCAATACTGAGTGAAAGAATAGGCACCTGTAACATTGTAATAGCTACAGGTAGGTGATGGTCACACTGGAGTTGCACAAGTGACTTGCCACCAGAAATCTGATTGTTACTGCTTCTCTGAAGCCAGGATTTCCTGAATGTCATCTCTTTTGTCTGTCAATATGTGTTTGTAGCATTTTTACTTTGTACTGATCTCATGCCCATGTGGCAAATAAAATCACACAGTTTCAATCATTTCCAATTTCCCAGATGATCAGCTTGAGTCATCTTTGAGTTGATTCTTAGCCATTTAGGTTTGTTCTTCCCTGAGTCAGATTCTTATAAAGTGTATTGCATTCTTCACTTTCATATTACTACGGGTTGGCCCAGGATGAGGTCTGGACTTGCAAATGTGTATTACTGTCTCCATTTTATGGGTGAGAAATGTCAGTGTCAGTGGTAATCTGAGGAGCACCATGGGCAGAACTCCTTGCCTAGTTTGCGGCAGAAACCAGCAAAGACATGTTAAGGTTCAGGACCACTTCTGTCACTGTCTCTCTGAAACAGACTTACAACTAAAGATTTCATTGGTGGCGAGTGGCACAGCCAGAAAGGACGGAGCTAAGGCAGCGGCGGCGGCTTTGGAGGCCGAGGTCCGGGTCCTGGCTTCGGCCCCAGCCCCACCATGGTGACGATCGCTGAGCTCCTGGTGCTCCTGGCCGCTCTTCTGGCCATGGCCTTGGGCTACTTCGTCAGCATGGATGCGAAGCCGAGGAGTGCTTCTTCGAGCAGGTCACCTCTGGCACTAAGATGGGCCTCATCTTCGAGGTGGCGGAGGGTGGTTTCCTGGACATCACGTGGAGATTACAGGACCTGACAATAAAGGAATTTATAAAGGAGACCGAGAGTCCAGTGGGAAGTACACATTTGCTGCTCACAGGGATGGAACATACAAGTTTTGTTTTAGTAATAGGATGTCTACCATGACTCCCAAGATAGTGATGTTCACCATTGACATTGGGGAGGCTCCAAAAGGACAAGACATGGAAACAGAAGCTCACCAGAACAAGCTAGAAGAAATGATCAATGAACTGGCAGTGGCAATGACAGCTGTAAAGCACGAACAGGAGTACATGGAAGTCCGGGAGAGGATACACAGAGCCATCAATGACAACACAAACAGCAGAGTGGTCCTTTGGTCCTTCTTTGAAGCTCTTGTTCTAGTTGCCATGACATTGGGACAGATCTACTACCTGAAGAGATTTTTTGAAGTCCGGAGGGTTGTTTAAAAGGCCTTTTCCTGATGATCCCAAACTCACAATTCACTTGTTTACCAAACATCTTGGTCATAATAATGTCATTAGTTTCTACATTTTTATTTTCTGAACTGTACATTCACAGCTTATGTTTCTTTGTGATTAATAGATTTTGGGGGAAAAACCTTCTTAGGAAAGTTGTAGTGAAAATTTGACATTTGATTGGCATAAAATTTCTTATTTGAATGTTGCCTCTATCATACAGGTCCTTCCAGAACTCAAACACTGTAAATGAAATATAGGAGTATAGTCTTTATTATGTCTTATTTCCCTTTTGTAGTAAATGCAGGAAAGCAACACAAAGCCTGATGGTACTTTACTAAAATGGCTGCATTCTTTGGAATCCCTCATCCTGTGGTTCAAGTCGTTAAAGTTTCATTTTGTTGACTCATGGAGTGAAGCAACAGTCTGAATCTTGACATTTTCTGCCCAGCCTAATGGCAGTGCTGTCTGACTGGGGAGTGTAGTATCAGGCTGGGTGTGTTTATATTTGGTCTTTTTGTTTTGTTTTACACATAAGACTTGCCCCAAATTTTTACATACGACCTTAGGACTCAATCACCTCCACAAATATTGATGACACAAGCAGCTAATAATCTTTTTTTTGTTTGTTTGTTTCCGCCTAACCTCATAAGAAGTCTCTGAAAAGTCGATTCTCTGGGTATTTGAGCAAATGCTAGCTTTTCTTTTCTGCACTGGCACAGCCCTTTTTCACGCTTGGCACGTGGGAAGTGTTCATTCACGTAATTGGAAAAAATCTGGGTTTCTGATGCCACAGGGTTAAAGCCTCTTGGGTTTCATTGCAGTGATATACAGCCACTATTTTATTTTTGAGAGAGGCCTTTGGGCCACTTTAAGACACTGAGTATCAGTGTCAGCACTAGGGTTTTTGTTTTTGTTTCTCCTGGGTCTTTCTTTTTTGGTACATGTGAATTTCGTTTTATATAAAATGAAAAGACTTTCTCTTGATCTCTGATGATAGGTTTAAAATTAAAGGAGCATCGGGTTTTGGTGTGGAAATGATCCAGGATTATGTTGTGACCGATGTATATTAGTTACTTGTACATTTTTTTTTGAATCTTTGCAAGGGGAAAACTACAAGTAACAAGTTTTATATAATTAATTTAAATTTGTTACAGGTTTTCATGTTCAGGACACAATTTTTCAGCCTTGGGTGAAAATACTTGCAACAGTTTATCGATAAGGTGACTGTTTCACCTTAGGACACCTGTTGCATACCAATTTCTTTTTGTGTGTGTGAAAACACTTCAAAATTGAATTAAAAAATGTAAATTTAAAATTGGTTGTGTATCTAATATATGCCCCAGGTTCAGTAAATAAACAATTCTTTTTAAAAACAGTAAAAAAAATAAAGATTTCATTGGTGGAGGAAGAGAAGTTGAGGGTTTGGGGCCACAGATTAGGAACACTGAAAGTATAAGTTTTCAGAAAGATTATGAATCACACATATACTATCACCTTACTGTTTTATTTCTTTGTAGAAGACCAGTATTTCTGTGTAACATAATCTACTAAATATTGTTTAGTGACAGGTAAAAAGAGAATTAGCATATTATTGTTTTATTTATCATCAATTTTAAAGTAAAATAAGTACATTATTTTTCGTGCTTTAGATTACTTTTCAGTTGGATAAAATCAGAACAAGGAGCATAGTTTTCTAATTCACTTTATTCTTTCTTTATTTTGTTGTATAAATTTAGGTTGTGTAACAGTATGTTTAGTAATACATACAAAGAAAAATTACTTCCATAAGTAAGCAATTTGAAATATGATCAGAAAGTATGTTAGATACTCACAATGGTGTATTATTTTTCAGCCATATACAAAAATGAGATCCTGTAGTTTTTGTAAAAATAGATGGAACTGGAGGATGTGATACTAAGTGATAAAAAACAGTACAGAAAGAGAAGTATGTGTTTGTAACATTTTTACTTTGGGCTGATCTCATGCCCATGTGGCAAATAAAATCACACAGTTTCATTCATTTCCAGTTTCTATTACATATGGCTGTCTATTACATATGGCAGCTAAAATAAAATTAATGTGAAAGTAGAGAAATGACTGGCTGGGACAGGGTTCTGGGGCATCAAGAGTGGAAGAAGGAGCTGGGTGTGGTGGTGCACATCTGTAATCTGGGAAGCTTAGGCAGGAAGATCTTGAGTTCAAAGCCAGGCTCAGCAATAGTAGGGCACTAAGCAATTCAGTGAGACCCTGTCTCTAAATAAAATAAAATAATAATAATAAAAAAAGGCTGGGAATGTGGCTCAGTGGTTGAGTGTTCCTGAGTAGCCCCCCTCCCAAAAAAAATGTGGAAGAATGTTGGTGGGACATTATCAGCTCATGTCATGTGCATGTATTATGAAAATATCACAGTGAGGGCTGGGGCTGTAGTTCATGGGTAGAACAGTTGCCTAGCATGTGTAAGGCACTGGGTTTGATCCTTAACACCAGATGAAAATAAACAAACAAAAAACATTCTGTCCATCTACATAATAATAAACAAAAACCATTCTGTCCATCTACAATTATGAAAAATAAATAAATAAAACCACACCAAATCTCAATAATATGTACAGTGGATATATGTTAATAAAATCTATCATCTCACATAACGACTTCATTCTGTAGTAAGAATATCTAAAATTCTACTTTCTTTAGAATTTGTACTATTCAAAGCATTATTATTAACTATAGTCTTCTGGTATCCACAGTTCTCTATGGATTTAACATTTTTCTTCCAGATTCCACACATAGAGTATGCAATATATTTCGTGTCTGGATCATTTCACTTACCATGAGGTCCTCCAGCATCATTCATGTTATTTTAAATGGCAACATATTCTTTTCTTTTGTTAATGGAATTTGAACCTATGGCTGCTTGACACTGAGATGTATCCCTAGTCAATTTTATTTTTTACTTTTAAGGTAGCATCTTGTTAAATTGCTGAAGCTGACCTTGAACTTTTGCCACCACTTTCACCTATAACATCCTTTCCTGATGAAAGCTGGGTGATAAGCCATTTGTGGTGGCACAGGCCTGTACCCTAGGTACTTAAGAGGCTGAGGCAGGACAATCACAAGTTTGAATGCAGTCTTAGCATAATTGTGAGATCCTCTGCATCTTAAAAAAGACCCTGCCTCAAAATAATCTTAAATAATAAAAAATTATTTATGTATGCATTCTCTACATTTTACTGGAAAACCAAGAATAATCATTTGACACTCAAATGCTAAACATCTTTGTACCTCTTCTCCACTTATCCTACCTCGGCATAGTTAACATATTAGAATTTGGTTTTGTTGTGTCTCCCCTTAGGAAACTTGACAGGGTGATAAGTCCTCAGTCACAGTAATATCTTTCCCTCATCTTGCATTTAAGACCTTCGGTTACCCTCAGGTGCTTTTTCTCTTATGTCAGCCTCTGTGGTCTCCTCTCCTCCTACAGAGCAGCTTGAGTTTAGGGGATGGAGGCTCTTGCAGGAGCAGCTGGATATTCTGGAGGATACGGGACTATCTCCACTAAGACCTTGCCTATGTTAAATTTCCTAGTTCTCATCTTTTCCCCTGCACTTCTGGACCCAAACACCTGGCACCAGTCAAGAAGGAAGACACTGGCAATTTTATTACAACTATTGGGAGGGAGAACTTCATCCCTTACTCAAAGCAAAAAAGCAAGTCTCAAAGATGAAGCATATTCCCAGTCCTAATCACAGCACTGTCCTCCAAGAGTAAGGCAACTTTCTAGTCTCCGAGTTGCCAATTTCCCAACATAGCCATCCGTACATCCAAGCAAAAATGGAAGAGAAAGAGCATACGTGTCACAGCTGTCACCTGCACAGTACACAGCACTGTGGCTAGAAACTCACCTTGAACCTGACTGCAGATTCTTCATGGATGTTTGGAATGGGCACTCTGGCGTTTTCAAAATGGACTTCCCAAGTTGAAAGACATGGAATTTATATCCTTATCTGTCAAATCTGCCCCAGACCTAGAGACATTTATTCATTCACTCATCCATTCACCGTCTTGCAGTACACTACAGAGAGAAAAATCTTTAGGGAGCTCATACTTTGCACAGTGAGGCAAACTATAGACAAGATAATATAATATTGTGGTCAGTGCTTGGATTCAAATACATTACAGAGTGATAGACATGGAGATTGGAGGGAGTAGCCAACAACATTTTTATTAAAGAATATGTCTAAGTTAACATTTCATAGAAGTTAAAGAGAGAACAATCAAGCTAGATAGAAAAGCACTTCCTAGGGCAGATGGCGTTGATGGTCCCAGTTCTTAACTACAACACAGCCACTCCAGTGCACGGGAATGGCAGCAACACCACCCCTCACCTTGGGCAGGGCAAGTTCCCATTCTCTGCTTCTAAAGGTGGGTTTGGCCAATGGAATATAGCCAACTGAAATTAGTTGAAAACATTTTCTGTACAAAAAATTAAATATGAATGTTTAAGGTCAGTGAGAACCCAGGACTTTCTTGTGCTTATATGGTCTGTCCTGCCCCGTTAGATGCCTGTGATGTGCAATAAGAATGTCCCCCAGGATGGGAAGGAAGACTCTTAAGTTAACCTGAGGCTGAGATGGGAATCCTAACAACACTGCTGTCAGTGGTGTTCCCAGGTGTCTGTCAGGCAGGGGTGCTGTGTCAAGGGATGACAAGCTGTCTTGCCTCAAAACATACCTGGTGTGCTCAGGAACAAAGGTAAGGTAAGTGTGAATGAGATGTCACCAGAGAGGACAGGTATAGTGGGTGCAGCTGGAAGTTGGTGAGGGACAGTAGCTTTGGAACCATATTTTGTGTAGCAGTGTGTTTTTGGTGCATTTTTTTCATAAATATGGAAAATCCTGGCAATTTATACTGAAAAAAGAGGCTTGGCACAGAGATTGTCATGGTTCAAGGGTAGCCAGGCCAGGTAAGGGCAAACTGGCTCTGCAGATTGTTTCTTCTATTACTGCAGCTGCACCCAGAGAGCCCAGTGGGGAAATATGTTAAAATCACCATTTCTCTGGCCCTTGGGCTGGATTTAAAGCTCATAGTTCATAAACGGAAGGACCAGGCCCTTCTGGTAGAGGGTACTGGGTATGGGTCAGACTACCTTCCTCTCTGCTCTTCACCTTGGCCCTTGAACCTCTCACGTGGTCCCTGTAAATACCAGTGGATGCTACCCACCCAGACTTCAGTGCAGAACAAGCCCTTGCAGAGGTGGTCACTGGCCACCAT